TCTCCTAACATAGCCTCTATGTTTCCACACTAGAACCATATATTGAGAGGTGAAATCAAAGAACAATCTATAGTAATGAATCCTAACTAAGTCAACTTCCATTTCTTGTTAGCAAAGATTCACCTTTAATCAACTAACAATGTGCACTTGCAAGAAGATCAAAGAATATCAAGCATGCAAAGATTTTAATCATAATTAACTTAATCGCAATATTATAAGCATGAACAATTAGCAACTACACCATTCCCACACCCTTGGCTAAGAGACTACTCACAAATCTTGTTGAGAACAATAGCAATCATCAAATCAATAAGCATCAACATGATTAATAAGCAAAGAATGAAAATCAAAGTAAACAGGCAAAATAAAATGCAAAAGTAAAGAGAAAGAGTAAGAGATTGCTCATTAATTGAAGTTGAAGATCTATAAAAGATTAAACAAGCTTCTTCTTCAAAATCCAAGTTCATCAATGAAGAAATCCACACTTTCTCTCTCTACCAAATGAAGACTAATAGTGTTTCTCTCTCTAGATTAAGCTAAAGTGCAGAAAATTAAAACTAAGTTAATCTAAATTACATCAAAACGTTCTAAAAATGGGACTTATATAGTCCGTACAAAGCCAACTGAAATAGAGGAGTGGTCCGACCGAACACTAGGAAGGTTCGGCCGGACTACAGGGTAGGTTCGGTCGGACCATGGGTAGGTTCGGCCGGGCTACGAGGTAGGTTCGCCGAACCACAGGTAGGTTCGGTCGAACCTCCCCACTAGGTGAAAAAAGGGCTTTGGCATCGGTTCAAACCCGGTCGAAGGCACCGGTTTGAACCGCTGCCTATGTGGGGGGTGCCAAAAACCCAATTTTTAGCACCGGTTCAAAACCGGTGCCATAGGGTCAAATAGGCACCGGTTAACCGGTGCCATATGCCCCATTAGGCACCAGTTAACCGGTGCCTTTAACTGCTCTCCCGCCATTCTTTTTTGTGGTAGCTATTTTAGGCACCGGTTGGTGGCTAACCGGTGCCTATTCACCAAATATTTTTTTTTGGTTTTTTTTTTTCCAATTTTCGTGCAATAATAATAACCTGTAATTCCAGCAATTATATTAAATATAATAATTAATAATATTATTATTATAATAACTAATAATAATATTATTAATTATTACAATAAGATACAAAAATAATATTAAAAACAAGAATTCAATTATATATACAGATATAAATATTCCCAAACGCAATACAAAAAAAAATTCCTTACATATACAAATAATAGTAAGTAAATATATAATGAATAATAAGTTATATAGTTCAAAAGTTAACATAAATAATTTACAATTACAATGCCATTTACATGTTGAAGGTGATAAAAGACGCCAACATGTCACGAACTTCATTAAGCTCCTTGATTGTCAACGGACCATCCTTTTGGACCTTGCAAAACATGAAATACAAAAACATTATGTTAAAATTAATTAATTAGGCAAAACAATATGTATTTTATCAAATATTACCTATATGACTTCTATGTAGCCCATTTTCCACATTACTTATCAAATGAACTATTTCTTTCTCATAACATGTCAATGTTGGGTAGTTGTATGTGTGTGAGCCCTAAAATTGTATAGGAGAGCATTTTATTAAGGTTTATGAAGCTTTTTACTCAAAATGGCCCGAATAAGGCCTATATGACTTTACTTTTCCCATTTCCTACATTTCTTATTAAACTTTATTTATCTCATAACATGTCAATATTATCTAGTTATAGGTGTATTAGGAAAGAAATCACATCAAAAGAGCATATTAACACAAAATGGCCCTAATATGGCCCATATGACTTCTATTCAGCCCATTTTCTACCTTTCTTGTGAAATGACCTTTTTGTTTCTCATAACATGTCATTGTTGGGTAATATTAGGTGTCTAAGGCTAGAAATCACATCAATATAGCATTTCAATAAGTTTAACAACGCATTTTACTCAACATGGCCCAAATAGGGCCTATATGACTTCTATGTAGCCCATTTTTTACATTACTTATCCCTGATCCTGGTCTGGTCGAACTTCTGAGGTTCGACCACTCCTGCAAAATTGCCAAATTGCTTCTTGTCTCTGCCTCGACGTTCGGCCGGACCACTGAGCAGGTTTGGCCACACCCTGGTTCGGCCACACCTTCAAGAGGTTCGGCCGAACCTCTTTTAAATCTTGCTTCCTTCAGCTTTCCTTGAGCTTAGCTTCCTCCTCTTGAAAACCCCGATGGTTCCTACAAAGCATAAGCATGGAAATCAAAGTAAAGAGTAGGAAAAAGGGGCAAAATCTAGGAAAGAAGATGCATAAAGGAAAAGGGAATTAAGTGCAAAGAAAAGGATGCAAACAAGCCGCAAATGTGGGAAAATGACCATCAAAATGAACCTTAATCGTGGTATAAATGCCACTCATCAATTCGCTAAGATTGTGGAGGTTGTCACTAAAGATTTAAGAAGATAGCACGAGATGGGCGGTCTTCGACAGCATTAGCTAAGATTGTGGAGGTTGTCACCAAGATTTGAGAAGAGTGGTTCGTGATGAGGCGGTCTTCGACGAATTTTGCTATGATTGAGAAGGTTGTCACTGTGATTCAAGAAAAAGGCTCGAGATATAGCAGCATTGATCGACGACGTTCCCTAGCTTGTGGAGGGTTGTCACCAACAACTAGAAGTGATTTCAAGAAAATTTATATTCGATAGCATTCCCAAGCTTGTGGAAGGTTGTCACAACGGCAAATGCAACAAATCGGTTACCTCCAGAGACGTGTGCTCGACGGTGCAAGATACGCGTTTCTTAACTCTCTTATTTGTTTTAATAACTCTAGTTTGTAGGTATCGGCGTTACAAGAATGATTTAGGATCGCAGAACGTTCTGAATCATACTCCGTCCCTATCGCTACTTTGACTTTTGTTTTCGAAACTTGCTATTCTACAAACTCAATTAAAGTGGGGGCTTCTGTAGACACCCATTTGTGTCTCCAAAAAATCAAACCCAATGATTAATACCTTTCATGTCATTTGATTATCGAACAAAGCGAAAGTGTGAAAGTCTAGTCATGAGGATGTTTTTATTAAAATATCTCTTCTTTCTGTTTTTGAAAATATTTCTTTTCTTACCCTATTTATGAAAAACGTGCAAGCCATTTTAGTTTGGTCAATGATATGGGTCTAATAATAATGTAGTTGATTGGGGCTTGAAAAGACCTTTCTAGTGATATATTATAAGCCCAATTCCGATGAATAATGAGGAAGTTATGGCCAAAATACTAAACTAGGCCCAAACCGGATTTTACCTACGGCCCAATGATCATGTGGAGGGTCCAAAGGTCTAATCCTATTCCTAAACTAATTCGAATTTTTTAGAAACTTCTATAATTTTCTAAAAGATCTTAATTATCCTTTTTGAAAAGATGAAATCAAAGAATTTGAAATAGAATAAAACTTTCCTTTTATAAAAACTTTCCTATTTTTTTAATCCTAATTCTATTCGAATTTAAAGATGTTCAAAGACAGTCAGATATTATTTTCGTTCCTTATAATATTTATCCAAATTTTATATGGTTGGATAGATCTTGAAATTATCTTTCCAATTATATATTATAATATTAATTCCGAGCTATAACGAAAAAGATAAGAATGGAATGTGAAACTCTATCCAAAACTGACACCCTTCCACTATTTCTGTCATACCTTTTTATCTACTAAACATTTTAATCTGACTCTAATTGGGTTGGAAAGTAGACTTCACGATCTTTCCAACGACATATTATATAACTTATTTGGACTTTTGGATCAAAAGATGTGATAAAAACAAAATCCGTAAAAAATGTTGTCCATCGAGTTTTATTTCGATTCTATAAACTAGTCGCCCTCTCGCGCGCTGCGCGCGCGATAGTTCTGCGTGTTTTTTGTTTTGTTGTATTATTTGTGTTAGTTTTTGTACAATTGGTGATTTTTTTCATCAATTTCTTAAATTCGTAAGGGTAACATTAAATTGTGCTTGTGTATTTGGAAGTATGAAATTCAAATGTCTAGGTTTAACTATGCAAGTGATTTATTTATATAAATATGAGTATTTTGTATTGGATTATAGAAAATATTGGATTAATATAGAAATTATCCATATAGAAAATAAAAGAAATTGTAATTTCTATATAATTATATAGAATTGATAATAAAAAATTTGTTGTCACAAAAAAAAAAAAAAAAAAAAAAATGAGAGAGAAAATAATAGAAATTCTATAGCAAAATTATATAGAAAATATTGGATTAGACTATGGAGAATTCTCATTAGAATATTATTTTCATCAAAAAACTTTACAATATTGGCACAATATGATAGTTGTTAAGCAAAAAGCTATCGTTTTTTTTTGTTGCCGGTATGATTTACATGATTTTAAAAGCTATAAAAGTAAAAATGGAAACTAATATCTTTGTTTAAAGCCTTCAAAACAATGTTGTATTGATGATACCCATACAATTTTTTTTCTTTTGTTTTAAAAATATTGGGATAAATTATATTAAATGTAAATTAATTACTACTTTAAATTTTACTAATTACATATTTAAAATGATGTTCGAATTTATTTAATTACTAATTTCTTTTTTAAAAAATTAAAATTTATTACTATACTATTTAGTTATAGATTTACAATGTAACATCTTCTTTACTAATGTCAGAGAATTTAGCTTTTTAAATTAAAAATTGATACAATCTTTCTCATGTATATATAGCTTCTTTAACAAGCAACAATACAAACAGACTATATGAACAATTTGGTAGTGAGAATTGAAGAGACAATTTAGTAGTGTTAAAGACTACAATTGATTGGTTCTATTATTTGGTGTACAAGTTTCAACCATTGTCTTCTCCCTTTTGTTTTTAGAAAAAACTAATGTGTATGATAATAATTTTCAAATTACACATGATGCATACATGATTCATAAATTATAACTGAGAATACTTGTAAAAACAAATCAGAGACATCGACAACGATTAGTTCTTTACTGATTTCTCAACAAAATGAACAAACTCCAAAGTTTGCAACAAATCTTTCTATTTCTTTCTCGACTGCATCTCGTAAGTATTTGGAACGAATGAATACATCATCAGTATATATGCTAATAGTAAGAAATTCTAATTTCGAAGATGGGGAACTGAGAATAAAACCTAGACACTTGCCTACACATCATATAGTTCATGTCCAGTCTGCTTAATATATGTAACAAATTCAGGCGTTGACGTGATGGGTGTATGTATACCAGCATTCTTGCAATAACCAATGATTAAAACTCTCCCATCGGGTTTCAATTATTTATAAAACTATGTGAATAGCTAGCTTTATCCTGAAATGTAAAACAGAGTAGCACCGTTATAACGCTAAAATTAAGTTGTTACTGAGGATTTATGGGAAAAAAAAATACCGGAAAGCATGAACATACAATACCAGAATATAAAGAATGGTATCACGGCTCTAGATCACATCAAAAGTATAGTCTAGGTAAGTAATTATTTTACAATCAGCAACCTTAAACTCAAATGCACTATTGTATCCAACTACATGTGCAACAATTATAGAGATCATATTGGTGGAGAGATCTCATATCAATGCCAATGAGAATATGTTGAAATTCTCTGCCACGAAGAAATCAACTCTACCAACGCCACGACCAGCATCCATAACCTCTAGCCTATATTTTAGGCCTAGCTTCGACAAAAAATTCTTTCGTGATTTCTGCAGAATTGATGATCAGGTCTAATTTCCCCTGGCTTCCTTTTCCTATTTCCATCTAAATAGACTTTTATGGTTTTGCAAATTTTATTATCATATTACTTTCTCTTCCCCCTTTCACCCTCCTCACTTCCTTTTCCTCTATGACCTCTTTTCTTTTTGATACACATTTTTACAAACTGTGAATAATAGGTCTCTTCTTACTTGCTTTCCATCAATTTATACATAGTATATTAATCTTTCTAAGCCCTCATTTTCTCACTCCTTTTCTATTTTACCTCACTTTTATTTTATGATTTTTGTAATTTTTAGTAAGTCTCTACCTACTTGCTCCCTCCCTCAGCGTACCATTTTACTTTTCCTCTCCCCCCAAAATCATCCAATGAGTTGATTTCTCAATTGATTTTGCAAATTTAGAAAGTATTACACTACTTTCTACTCCTTCCACACCCCACATCCTCCCTTCTCATATCCTTTTCCCCTATAGGCTCTACCTCCATGCGCTACTCGTTTTTTTTATAGATCGTGAATTTTAGAAGGCCTTTTTCTACTTGATGTCCATTAATCTATCTATTAATCTTTCCAAGCCCTTGTTTTCTCACTTCCTTTTCCTCTATGGGATGTATCTCCTTGTGTTACTCATTTTTACGCATTGTGAATTTTAGAAGGCCTCTTCCTACTTGGTATACAACAATTTATTTACTAATCATTCCATGCCCTCATTTCTCACTCCCTTTCTATACTCATATTTTACGGTTTTTGGAATCTTTTCCTTCCCTTAGTGTATCACTTTCTTTTTTCTCTTCCCTCTCCTCCCTCCTCACTTCTTTTTCATATATGGGCTATATCACCTTTTGTTACTCATTTGTACAAATTGTGAATATTGAAAGGCCTCTTCCTACTTTCTATCCGTCAATTTATCTATTAATCTTTCAATTCCAAGCCCTCAATTTTCACTCTCTATAAATTTTACCTCACTCATATTTAATAAATTTGTAATTTTTAGTAAGTCTCTTCCTACTTGCTCCCTCCATTAGTGTACCACTTTTCTTTCCTCCCCCATTCACAAAAATTAACTCATATCTATCTACACAAATATTTCATTTAAACTCTTCTCTTTTCAATCCACGCGTCTTTTATGAATTTTCATCAAAAAATTTATGTAATTAGAGGTATGTTTTAACAAAGAAAATTTTCCACAGAGTTCTCATTTGACTTTTATGATTTTGCAAATTTTGCTACGCCTCCCCCTTCTCCTTCTCCCTTCTTAATTCCTTTTCCTCTACGAACCCTATCTCCTGGTGTTACTCGTCTTTTTATGGATCATGAATTTTAGAAGACCTATTTCTACTTGATGTCCATCAATCTATCCATTTATCTTTCTAGGCCCTTGTTTTCTCACTTCCTTTTCCTTTATGGGCTCTATCTTGTTCTGTTACTATACAATCAGACATAATGAACATATAAATTACAGAAATTAAATCCAAAATAAAAAATTTCTGCTTTCATTTTATTTATTAAAAGGAACAATCATCAAATTCTAAATACTATAAAATTTCAGCTAGGAAAACAAATTTTTTTTGTTATTTTCCCCCAAAAATCCCAGAACCTTAAATCTAAAAGGGTATAAATTTTCCAAAATAGAAACCAACATGTTGACAGATCATCTATTTAAGCAAAGAAACCCATGGATAGAAACAGATAGTCGTACGTCTTTCCCAACATCACCAAAATGATGTATGAATCAACATAGCAATGAAAATCCAAACATACCTCAGTTACCTGAACCTGCCAGGAAACTCTTATTAGGTCCATATCATATGCTACATCCAGAGTTCTTGAATCCTCAACTTCGAAAAAAGGCATTAAAGAGCAATTGTATTGGAAAAACCTAACTGCGTATCCATAGATAGCAAGGTGCTGTTTTCTTCCAGTAGATTGGAGCCTCTCCAGTCTCTTCAGAAGCTTCATCCTGACCAATAATAACATGCAATAAAGATATAGGCATATACTAAAAAAATCATTTATCTATTTATCAACTGTAATAGCTGAATTTCCCACAGAACGGGTACTTCTACAGATTTCCTAGATTAGCCATTATTATTCCTTCATCTAAAGTCATGGAATTTTTGATAATTATACTATTACCTAAAACCAAGAGTTAATCAAAGAAATAAGAGCATCCTTCACAACACAATCTTATGAAGTTCGAAATCTTATTCCTACATAGGTGAATATGACCAAGACATATGCACATATAAATTCCCACTACAACTCTTTCCTATTACTCAAAATAAAAGCAAATTTTATAATTAACACCCAATCAACACTTAATTCAAAATACAAGCAAGTTTCAAATTTCATTTTTACCTGATTGTTAGAAGGACTAATAGTGGAGATTAGAGGAGCATTAGCTTTCCAATTTCTGCTCACATAATCAAAAATTCATAGTTTCATACTCTTTCTACATGAAACCCATCAATTGTCAAGATCAGTCAAATGAAATAGAGAGGCCAACAGAACAACAAAATAGTAGAGACAATGAGATGCGGATCAGGACCATTTCAAAGAAAATTATAACTTATATTTTTGTTATTTTGTATACATGGTATTCATTCAATAAGACGGCATTGCAAGAAGCTATATAAATAATGTCATACCAATGGAAGAAGCATCCCACAATAACAACTCTCAAGGCATAAAAAATAAAAAAATAAATAAAAAAAAAGAAAGAAAAAAGAGAGATGGGAAACCTGAAAGCAATTCTCATAGCTTTCTTTGCCTCTGCAATTGCTCTTCAAGCATGCTCGGTTCGTGCCACATTATCAGACTGTACCAATTTCTACTTGGGTGAAACCCGTGGCAAATATACAGGTCCAGACAGTGTTGATCTAGTGTTGACAGAAGAAGGAGGTATGTACCTGCAGCAAATTCTGCTTTCATTAATGGATATTGTTCTATGATATCTCATGCAGCATATGTATGATTAGCAAGCAAACCAGTTCAGTAAAATAAATTGTGTAGTTTAGGATGCATTTCATTCAATCACAAGATATCAGATAGATAGGTTTTTGAAAATCTATATATCAGAAATTTTATGGTGAACAAAAGATAATATTAGTAGACAACTTGACAATCTAAAACTATTGTCCTAGTTTTAGAAACAGATTGTTGCATAGTTGTCAGCCCTTATTAAGGGCAGCACGAATATCTCTTCGTCACAATCTTAATACTGCATGAAAATTACTTGCTAAAGGCCTGAAAGTTGAAACCGCCTAATACCACAAAACTGTCTGCTTCTTTATCAGGAACTGGAATAAGGTCAAATGTCAGTTACATGTATGTATCTATTACCTTGGGACTCAAGCTGCCCTCTAGCAATTCAGCTGGAACTGTCACCACCTTCTATGTAAGCATCCTCCTACTTAAATTTGTCGTAGTGTTGTATCCAAGACATACTGCTTACATTTGTGTTCCTGTTAAACTCACACATTTAACTTAACCAAGAAGAAAAGGGGCTACAATGAAGTGTCAATGACCTGATTGTGCCGCGTTAGACTAAGATTAAGGATTGAAAATGTTGTAAATGTCTCTAAACCATCATATTTGTTGATAGCACCTGTAATTAGAAGTGTAAAGGTCTTTTATTAGCAAAAAATTAGTGTAGATCATGGACTAACTAACACTATTACAATACCAACACTGAAATGCTATTGTAAACTCCATAAGATGAACCTAGCAAGGTCCTTTCTTTGTTCATAATGAAAACTTGGCAAAAGCTTAAGAAACCAAGCATAGAAATAGAGAACTTTACTTTAAACAAGAATTCAGCATATTAGAATCTAAAAATTTTAAAAACTAAGGAAAATCTGTTATGTTACCAACAGATATCTTAATAATTATGTGGGTTTATTACACTTTTGGCAGAAAAAACCCACTATAAACTAAAATACCATTGTTAGTTTTATAGTGTTAAATTGCATGAATAATCCAAAGATCTATACTACATTAGCTTGTGATTAGAGGTAATATTAAGAACTATAAGATCAGCCAATAGTGAAAACCTATCTAAAGCCGCTAGATAACCCACTTAAATTAGATTATATTACTCCCACATTCATAATGAGCAAAGAATTACATAAAATATGTCAGGCATGGAGATGACATCGGTATGAGCATAGAAAAGCAATATAATAACTACTGAATTCAAACCAACTAATCCCATTAGTTATGTGGGAGTAGATGAAGGGATGTGATCATGCTTTGTAGCCATTATAGGACCCATTATCAAGGTGTACAATTTGTCGTTCATAAGACCCATTGTACAGGTGTAACACTCCAAATAAATTTAACGCTTGACAGACATACAAAAGGCACATAATTTATCCGCAATTAGATTCAATTGACATCCGATCAATGTATTTTCAGATTAAAAGTTTTACCACCCACAATCTATGTTCATTCAAGCAATTCATCGAACACTTTAAGATCATATATTTACAAGACAAAAGCAAATAATATAACATTAAATTAAATTCGAATGAACTCACCTTGGCACATACATTGACAACTCAATCAAGAAAATCTTCTCTAATTCAACCTTGAACATATGGTTTTCCTACAAAATCCCACATAAAATAAAATCAGAAATAATCAAACTTAGAAGAACCCAAAATTGACAATAAATTTAATGATGAACCCTAAAATTGGTATTTGATGAAAAAGAAAAATCTTACCTCAGAAGCTGCTGTATTCTTTTCCGATCCTCTCCTCCGGCGCGTGTGCTGTAGGAAACCCTAATTTAAGCATTACCCGAAATTCTTAACAACAAAGTATATCATTAATGTGTAATATAACCACTCAAAACTCTCGCTAATCACTTACCAATTTACTAAAATTCATTCGAATTTCACAAAAAAAAATTGCATAACTTCAACTGATCATGTTTCTCAATAAATCAAAGTGAAATTCCATCAATTCCACAAAACACAGACATCAACAACAGGAAAAAAATTCTAGAAATTAAATACAAAAAACCAGGTCGTACATCCAATAATACCTTAGTTTATTCACCTGAAACTCGAATCGACCAAACCTTGCTCCATCTTCCTCCTTCCGCCTATCTTAGAGAGAAAACAGAGAAATAAGAGGAAACTACTTCACACTGCAAATAATAGATCACAGGCTAAAGTCGTATCACCTAATCAAAAGTAATTCCTAAACCACTAAGTAAAATAGATAGGGAAGTAGGGTCGAATCCAAAGGGAAACGAGTCTTTTTATTCCAAATTAATTAATATAATCTAGATTATAGAGTAACAAATTATTATTATCGAAGGGAAATTAAACTACTAAGAGTATAAGTGGAAAAGAATAAAAGTAAGAGGAGAAACAATGAATAAAAGACATAGGGCATAGGGTCACGAATAAATAATATTCCAAGGTAAAACATAATAATCAAACATCAATGCATCAAAAACCCTAGCAAGAAAACTACTCACACATAATTAAAACTAAACTAAACAAAACAATTAAATTAAGCATAATAAAAACAATAATATGAAATACAAAATTAAGAAAATAACGATAAGCAAATTAATTTTAATAATAACAAAACAAGAAAGCAAGTAAATTGAAATCCCAAGCTAAACTAAAACGAAGTCTAAGAAAGGAACAAAATTGACGAAGCGAATAAAATTACTAACCTAAAATCCTCAGCATGCAAATTAAACGTCTAACTAAAGCAAGTTACGGAAAAAAAAAAAACTATAATTAAAACTAAGACTAAAATTTAAGTGACTAAAATTTAAGTAACTAAAAAGCTAAAACTCAAAACTACTCATCCGTAACTAACTCCATCCTTTTAAAGGAAAAGGAGTTTGTTTCCCAGTCAAAACTCTAATTCCTCCAAGGCCAATCATTAACGTTGCGTGAAATTGGAGCAAGGCCCCTAGAAGTCAGAAACCCACATCAGCGAATTAACTAGAGTAAAGCCTGATAAGTGACATCATTAACGTTGCGTGAAATTGGAGCAAGGCCCCTAGAAGTCAGAAACCCACATCAGCGAATTAACTAGAGTAAAGCCTGATAAGTGACTTTTGTGTCACTTTTAGGGTGTTTATTGAGTCGCTTTCCGGCTTATTTTACAATAATTTATCCACCACAACAGCATCGGTCACCAACAAAACACCATCAATCAACCACCACCAATCCACACCCAATTCAACCCCATTACCAGCCAACGAACCGCAACAACAACAGCCCCTGCTCCACCACGCAACTCCAATCAGCCCAACAACACCAAAACCGCCAGCAATCACCACCATCATCACCCACCAAAACCGCAACAACCAACCCTTTGCCCCCTCACAACAACCCAGCCTCACCTCCCATTTCGCCACCAAAATCACAACCAACACCACCTATCAGCCCACCACAACCGCACCAGCACTCCACTCCAATCAAGAACAACCTCCGTCAGCCACCAATCAACCACCCAAACCACCATCCTCCAACAGCTACAACAACAAACACAACACCATCAGCCACCACATCCTCACACCACCAGCAACCCAATCAATTACCCACAACAACCAATTAATCACCATTTCACACCCTCTGTTCCACCGTCACCTCCCATTTCGCCACCAAACCGCCAGCAATTACCACCTTTAATTCGACCCCCGCAACACCAATTAAACCACCAGCCCTTCACCCACAATCAACCACCTAAATCACCACCAAATTACTCACCTAATAGCCGCGCAACTCACAACACCCAAACTCACCATCTCAAGCCTCCACCGCGGCCGCGCAGCCTGTCAGAAAGCGCACAATTGGAATCCAAAATCATAGTCGAGGCAGTAGCTTTGCGCGACTTGCTGTGCGGCCTCTGTGCGGGCGCGCAATTGTGGGTCAATCACGAGCTTTTCACGTGATTTTTAATGAAAATTGGACGGCCACGATAGATGATGATGATGTTGATTTACGGTGGTGATTATGATGATTTTTTTTGGTGGTGATGAAAGTTTGGAGCAGCCAAATTCGAAAGAGAAGATTAATGGAGGTCCGGTGGAAATCGTGGGTTTGGGTGGGGATTTTGGGGTTTTCTTTTTTCTTTTCATTTTCTTTTATTTTATTTTATTGTTAGTTTTGTTTTTATTGGTTTTTAGTTTAGTTATTTTATTTGTTTTATTTAGTTTTATTTCTTTTTAGTTTCTTTCTTTTATTTTATTTTTTTATTTAACTTGTATTATAAATACCCTTTGGGGCTATTTTCAAAGGAACTATCAATCAACATTTTATTTTAGATAGATTAGTTTTAGTTTAGCCTTTATTTTCTCTCTCTTAGGGTTAGTTTAGGAGTAGTGTAGAGAGAGAAAACTTGGATTTCCATGGAGTTTTTGAGAGGTTGAAGAAGCAACTTTGTGGAACTTCTTCTCATCTATTCAATGAGCATTTTCTAACTTTGTCTCATCTTTATTTCTTGCTTAATTCTTAGTTTTTGCTTTTTGTTTATTGATTTGAGTAGATTAATTAGTTTATATGTTTACTCTTGTTTTTATTCTTATTTTACCTTGTTTTCCATGTCTTTCTTCATTATGTTAGCTTAGATTTTATTATAGGGAAATGGATGAAGGTTATGTTAATAAATTGAATGATTGATTGTGATTAGTATAGAATTATTTCTTTATTATTGTGTATGGATGATGCTTTATGGATTAGAATCTTTCTAGCTGATTGATTCTATGTTATTAATTGTGCTTTCAATCGATTTTGCGAGAGTGAGTTGGTTGAGAGCCCTAATTTCTTCCATACCTTTGCTAGGCTAGTTGCACGAGAGTGAATTAGTTTAGTAGGATAGTTAACATGCTTAATTGTGCGAGAGTGAGTTAAATGTGTTGATTGTTACTAATCAAGGTTGATTAGGGGATTTTGCTCCCACCAATCGGAATGCGCCACGTGGGCCAATCAGGTCCTGCCAAGTGTCCCCCAGTTGGAACTGTCAGGGCTTGCCACGTGGCACCCGCTTATTTGTCCACCTTAGACCTATTATGTCATGACACGTGGCATACTCCATGCCTAATGGAGAAACCGGCCACCCAGGCCCAACTTCCGAGGGAAGCCCAATCAGCCCAAGGTTAACCTAAACCTAGGATTGGCACGCTTCTCAAAGACTATAAATACTTAATTAATCCTCATTAAAGGGGATTAAGCAATTAAACACTCTCACCTAGAGAGACCCAATCACTTTAATTTCCGCATTAATTACTCCTCAAACAAGTACTAACTTGACCGTTGGAGGCGGAGCTCCCACCACCAGGAGTCTCCGTTGTTTTGCAGGTACAGGCGTCCGGTTCCAGTCTCGGAATTGTAACTCTCCCGCAGGACATCAGAAAACCCCGAAACATTTGGCGTCGTCTGTGGGAAGAGTACTTCTGAGATGGCATCCACGTTTGTACCGACTCCTGAAGAGAGGCGTCCCCTAGACGACCCTCAAGTTCAGTCGGACCACGACACTGAGAATGAATTTGAAGTTGAAGCTCACACAGCTTCAGACGGGACCCTAAGGGCCCGACGTACCCGTCAGACCGAAAGGAGAGAACGGGAACATCTTCAAACTGGAAGTGAGCCAGCAGGCGCACTGCCTGTTCGGCAGCAGCCGACTGATGGGTCTGCTCCCATCACAAGGAACGAACTCATGACCTTCATGAGGGACTTCAAGGGAGAAATTCAAGAGTTGATCAAACAGAAGCCGCCTGCTCTAGACAAGGAGCAGTCGGCTAAGAAACCCTCCACTTCACAGAAGAGGAAGCCAGTTCAAGGGCGAGAGGCGACTCCTCATCCTAAATCTAGGAAGCGGGAGCCGACTGCCCTTGATTTCACAAAATACCGTTTTCCTACTCCAGGAACTAGGAAACCTGTTCATCATATTCAGGCGGACGGGTCGAGAAAAACATACACAGACGCTCGGCTACTGCTAGAGTAGAAGAAGAGTGACCGATTGTCAGAGTCGGCCTCTACTTCAAACTTCCAAGACAGTCTGCGAAATACCTCGATGAGGCATACTCAGTCGTATCATGAGAGTCAGTCAGGCGGCACCTCCCGTCAGTCCGGCTATCATAGCGACCAGGCGGTACCAAACTTACCGTTTGTACCGCAACAACAGTATTTCTTACAGCCACCTCCGTTTGGTGGACATGCAGCAAAAAATGTCCAACCTATGGACTGGCAGCTACGGTTGCTTAGACTTGGTGAACAGCCGTCGGCCTTCTCCAAGGAAATTACTAAAGCCGCTCAGCCGACCAAAGTGAAAAATGTATTAGTAGGCGCCTATGACGGCACTACTAACCCAGAAGACCATCTGATGGCATTCACCAACCTGATGTACCTTCAAGGGTTGGATGATCCCACCTGGTGCAAGTGTTTCCCAGCGACTCTCAAAGGAATCGCACAACAATGGTTCGGCAACCTGCCGACTGGTTGTGTAAATAATTTCAGGACGCTTGCTTACTTATTCACCTCCAACTTCGCCATGAACATCCCTGCGAAGAAGACGACCCTAGATTTAGGAACAATTCAGCAGGGCGAGAAGGAGGGGCTTCGTTCTTACATCAGGCGGTTTAACCTGATGAGAATACAGATTCAAGGGTTACCGGATGAAGTAGCCTATACTGACTTTTTCAGAGGTCTCAAAGACGGGTCGACCTTCAAATTTGATTTGGTCCGAAAGAGGGTGGCGACTCTTCAAGAGGCCTTGATTGAAGCGGAAGCCTATATACAGGCGACTGATCTTTGTAGTACGGGAAAACAGTCGGACGGGAAAAGGTTCGACAAAAGAGAAGGACGACAGAAACAGTCGTCAAACAAAGACGAGAAAAGAAAAGAGGTCTGGGCGGCTGATTCCTCTAAACAGCCGGCCCAGAAAAAGAAAAAAGAATTCAAACCATACTCCCCAAAGTATGCGTTTAACAAGGATATCCAGTTTATCCTAAAGGAAATCAAGGGACGGATCTCAATTGAGAAGCCGGTCCCCATGAAGGGTTCTGCAAACAACCGGAACCAAGATAAATTATGTGCTTATCATGAAGATGTTGGTCATCACACCAATGAATGCATCAGTCTCATGCGGTATCTGGACCGCCTGGCTGAACAAGGTGATCTTGACACTTATGTCAAGAAATCTACGAGGAACACTTCCTCAAAAAAGCAGTCGACCAAAAAGAATCAACAGGCCGACAGCTCCGATACAGATGATGCAGTCGTCTACACCATTGCAGGCGGCTTCTCAGGAGGCGGCCCCACTATTAGGGGCAACAAAGACAATATCAGGCGGTTAGATGTAAATTCCGTTCACCAAGAACGACCCTCCAAATATTCATTTCCTGAGATTGTCATCACTGAAGAAGATCTAGGAGGGGTAAGAGGGCCGCATGACGACCCTATCGTTATTGAATGTAAAGTGGCCAACCAGAGAGTTGGTCGAATCCTCATAGATACCGGAAGCTCCTCAGATCTCATCAGTAGCAAATGTCTATCGAAACTAAAATATCAGACTGATTGCATACATCCGGCCTCCCACCCTTTAGTAGGGTTTGGAGGAGGAGTCGTCCACCCAGTGGGACGAGTGGATTTACCCATCCGCCTGGGCGAAAAAGGGGAAGGACGACACATGGTAGTCCGGTTCCTGGTAGTAGAAGAACTCTCGGCTTACAACATGATTCTGGGACGACCAACCCTGAATAATTCCAAGGCTGTTATAATCCCATCTCTTATGTTGCTCAGGTTTGAGAGGGATAATGGGACAGTCGGGTCCCTAAGGGGAGATCAGAGGATGGCCCGAGAGTGCTATCTCTCGGATTTCAAGCCCACTGTTATGGCCACTGGGTCGAGTGGTGGAAAAATAGACCTTGATAATGTCAAGGAGAGTGCGCCTGTTCAAAAAGCAGGCGGCAAGAAGAGAAAGGCATCCCAGACAGGGGCCGCAAGAAAAGACAGAAAATAGCAATCATTGGCAGAGGAGCGGTCGGATGAATTCTGCCCTCAGCCAGCTGGTGAGCATACGGACCTGATCCTAGACGACTCACGTCCTGACCGAACAGTCAAAGTTGGGAAGACTGCTCTGAGAGTCCTAGGTGACGACTTTCACAAACTATTGAAAGAATACAAGGACATCTTTGCATTCGAAGTCCATGAAATGCCAGGCATTAGTCCTGATCTGGCGGTACATAAATTGGCCGTGGATCCGAAAAAGAAGCCGGTACGGCAGAAGAAGCGGAACCATGGCGAAGAAAGAAGTCAGGCAGCAGCCGCCGAAGTTAAAAAATTACTTGATGCAGGGTTCATTCGGCAATGTTACTTCCCAGACTGGGTTGCAAATGTGGTGCTTGTTAAAAAGCCGAATGGCACCTGGCGAATGTGTGTAGACTACACAGACTTAAACAAGGCGTGCCCCAAAGACAGTTACCCTCTGCCTAAAATTGATAACCTGGTCGACTCAACAGCTGGCCATGCTTTGATGAGCTTTATGGACGCCTACTCTGGTTTCCATCAAATTCCTTTATGGAAGAAAGATCAGGAGAAGACGACCTTCGTCACTGATCAGGGGTTATACTGTTACACGGTCATGCCGTTTGGTCTTAAGAATGCCCCGGCTACCTTCCAACGAATGATAAACACTGTGTTCTTTGATCAGATTGGGAGAAACGTCGAGGCATACATTGATGATATGATTGTCAAGACTAAACTTCAGAAAGATCATCTGTCGGACCTCCGAGAAACTTTCGCCACACTCAGGCGGCACCATGTCATGCTCAATCCCAAGAAATGTGTCTTTGGAGTTGAGTCTGGGAAATTTCTCGGATTCCTTATCAATCAGAGAGGAATAGAGGCGAACCCTGAGAAGGTGCAGGCGGTCATTGACATGCAGTCGCCTCGTACCATCCGAGAGGTTCAGAAGTTAACAGGTTGTCTGGCGGCCTTGGGAAGATTTCTAAGCCGATCAGGCGACAAATGCTTATACTTTTTCCAGGCAATTAAGAAAAAGGCAAGGTTTGAATGGCGGCCGGATGCTGAGGCCGCCTTCCAGAAATTGAAAGTTCACTAGCATTCCTTGCCGAGGCTGGTCAGCCCTTTGCCCAAAGAAGTACTC